GGAATATTTCTGTGACTTTGTATATAAAGGTGTGGCCTAAATAAGGTAAGGGAGGGGGATTTAGCTTATTTAGGCCACAGGTGTGGCCTAAATAAGGTAAGGGAGGGGGGTTTAGCTTATTTAGGCCACAGGTGTGGCCTAAATAAGGTAAGGGAGGGGGGTTTAGCTTATTTAGGCCACATGTGGCCTAAATAAGGTAAAGGAGGGGGGTTTAGCTTATTTAGGTCATATGTGGCCTAAATAAGGTCACCCTAATCATAATGCGATTAAACGTAGAAGGACGCAAACTATTTTTAGGTAAGGCGGCCATTTTTTGACATCAGACCGGAACACCCCTCCGATCATGTGACTATATGTAAATAAATCCAACGGGATGGCACAACGCTTTGGAGCGATGTTTTTCAATAGGCTGCGGTTTTTGGTACATATATAGTGCGTACAACTCTAACTAGTTATTAGTACAATTGTACTAGTTAATAACCAGACAGAGTTATTCGTACAATTATTCAAATTTTGGAGGTTGTTGGTAAAAATAAGCCTAGAATCTAGATCACTAGTTCTAGTCATCCAGTTGTTTCTCCCCTGGGTTGAGCATCAATGTAATATAATAACGTTACGGAGTGTCTACGTACATGGTAACCGGGCACGTAGCCTCAGGGTCTACGTACACGGTAACCGGGCACGTAGCCTCAGGGTCTACGTACACGGTAACCGGGCACGTACGGTAGCCTCAGTGTCTACGTGCACGGTAACCGGCAACCGGGCGTGTAGTCTCAATGTCACGTACACGGTAACCGGGCGCGTAGCCTCAATATACGTACACGGTTACCGGCAACCGGGCGCCTCTCATTATCTACGAACACGGTAAGCGGGTATTTAGTTTCTTGGGGGGGGGGGGGGGGGGCTTCTCCCTTCTTGACGTTGACATTAATTTTTCCTTTTTCACCGTGTAGTCTCAATGTCCCATACATACACGGTTACCGTGTACATGTACTTAGTTTCGGGGGGGGGGGGGGGATGCGGAAGGGGGCTTGAGCTAGGTGCATGCACGGTAACTAACTGCTTCGTTCCCTTCATGACGTTGACTTTTTTCCTTTTTTTCACCGTGTAGTCTCAATGTCACACACACGGTAACCGGGCACGTAGCCTCAATATCTACGTACACGGTAACCGGCAACCGGGCGCCTCTCATTATCTACGAACACGGTAACCGGATGTTTTGTTTCTGGGGGCGGCTTGAGTACAGAATACTTCACTTAAGTGTAGAATTCTGTGGGCTTGAGCTAGGTGCACGGTAACTGCTTCGCTCCCTTAATGACCTTGACCTTTTTCCTTTTTCACTCCGCTTTTTGTGTGTTGTGAGCGGAATGTAAATTAAAAAAATGACCCCAATCTTTCATCTGTCATCTTTCCTAAGGGAGAGCAAAATGAAGTGACACTGAAAATCTGCGAATTTGGAACAGAAAGCTAAAATATAGATGTTTACAAAACATGTAATACTATCACGAGAGAGAGAGAGAACGAGACTCAGAAAACAGGGAGAGGGAGAGAGAGGAAGGAAGAGAGAGAGAGAGAGAATTAAAAACGTATGCTCTTGATGAGGTCACACCTCTCTTAAAACAAAAGACAATGAAACCAGGGGATCCTTGACTATCACCCATCCAATGAAACGCTGACCTTTTGTTTAAAAAACGCGGCTTATTAGGTATGAGTATGACCAAAGATAGTACATAACAAGATAGGCCACTTCTCTCTTTGAGCCAATTAAAAAAGTGTCCTCAAAATTTGGTGGCGCCCTCTTCACAAAAGCGCACTCTTTGCGAACAGAGTTACTCTACTTGAGTTATAAAAATTCAAAGTGAAACTAGCAAGTTTTGGGATAAATTTCGGAAGAACGCTTTTTCAAAATGGTTACCCTGACAAAAAAACTCTTCCGGAGGAAAGGGTGATGGTTTTCTTCGTTTAATTTGGCTTTAGAATGAAAGGCGAGAGGTCATTAAAATTTTTAAAAAACCTAGAACTCCACACTGAACGTACCCGATATGAACAGCAGTCGATCTGCGCACGCAAGGAGGTGCTATTCCTATTCTTCTTCTGGAAAAACGAAAGAGAGCTTCAAAACAGACTGCAGCGCCATCTGAAGCAAAGAGCATACTTCCTGCGGACACTTTTTTGGCTGAGTGGCCCATCTTGTTATTTACTATCATTGGTATGACGGATCCCAATTCCGTACAGGGCTTGCACCAATGCATGCTTTTCAGTAGCAGGAAGCTCTAGTAATCAAAATTCTAAATATACAAAAATTTGCTTCCAAGTTCAGTTTTTGTCATCTGATGTTGCCTTCAACCCCACCCCTCCCCCCGACTGTACCTTTTAAAAAAATCAATAATCCGCCTATTCCGGAGCCCTATACTTCGCGCAGCGCGCACGTTGAATGAACTTTGGTGACCCCAACGATCACTGGTACTCACAATGTGATGCGAAAGTACAGGTTCACTGACCGGTCACGATGTCGAGCCCGACAAGACGCTTGTATAACTTTCTTTTTTTTCCGCAAGTGAAAGCACAGGACAATGATTTATTTTCCTGGCGACACAGCGTTTGCAATGCACAACCTGTATGTTACAAATGATGTGTTAATCAGACTGCTACCGGCAAATTTCTGGGTGGTAAAGAAAGCGAAAGAAGATCAAGCTTCAGTACCACGTATACACTTACGCTTGCAGCCAAAGCGCCCTGTTCATACCTAAAACTATCTTTTGTTTTCCAAAGAGTTAGCACTTGCAACAACAAAAAATTTATATAAGTGCTGAAGATTAGAGGTGTTAGTGTTACAAGAGAGTAACAAACACAAAAAGAAGGAAGAGAAAGATAAGGATGATTGATGTTGAATAGGAGAGAAGGAGCAGACCACACCAGAGCACCCACCACCCACCCATTAATACTATCTTTACACACACCACACTTACAATCACACAAAAAAATACATAAACACAGAGAGAGAGAGAGAGGGGGGGGGGGGGGGGGAGAGAGAGGGAGACACACACGCACTCGCGCACATCATGCATCTACACGTGTGAATAGTCTCTAAATATATTTAATACTTAGCATGTTACACACACACAAATCACACAACATACACATTGGATAAAACGATATGAGGATAGCTTTCGGTTGAGTTTGTCAGAAGTAGACTTGACTTTGACTTTGTACATGTAGTTACATTATAAACAAAAATCTCCATAGCCTCACAACGATATTCTCTCGGTCTTTAAACACACACAAATCACACGACATACACAATGGATAAGACAATATGAAAGCTAACAGAGCAAATAAAAAATGAATGACCCAGGACATATTAAAACTAGAGAAGACAGTCAAAATCAAACATGGAAAAGTACATCTTTAGCTATGGTCAACACCCAAAGGCTATAGTATTTGGTCTAATGCTTGCTTTTCTGCACCAAAGAGTGTGACATCACAGCATTTTGAAAACCAATTTCATCTTATTTAAATCACATGGGTCTCAACTCAGAATTCTAAAAAAGGAGGGACTTTCCAGGTGGTCGCCACAGAAAGCCCATTTTCGTGAAACACCCATTATTATTATACTGTTGAACCCTAGAATGCTGAAATGAAAACCATCAATTTATCAAAGCAAGGTTATTTCACACCAATTTGAGGGTTTGGGAGATAATTTCAAGTAAGAGTCACGCACCAAATTTACAATCTTGATTACGTACAGAAAGTGGTGACGCCTAGGGTCTTGTGCGACTTATTAATATTTTCCCTTCATCATATTCGCCTGTATATATAAACTATATAAAAATGAATCTTGCTTTGAGCCTAGAACCAGAATATCAACTGTCATGATTCATATCATATCATATATATAGGCCTATATAATAAACGTGAAAGACAAAAATTAATGCTCTAACTCAAAGTACAGTAGAATAGCCCAAGTAGACCTATTCAGTGTGAGAGGTGTAAAAACTGTGGGAGGGCAAGATGCAGTGATACTGAAAATCTGCGAATCTTGTACAGAAAGCTAAAATATACTGCCACCAATCCAATGAAACGTGAACACTTAGGCCGTTTTCACACAAGGCCTGAACCCATGCACACTTTACTTAGCAGAGAGCTGTAGTAGTTATCAAAATTCTAAACATTAAACATATTTAATTTGCTTCCAGTTTCAGTTTTTTTTGTCCACTGGTGTTGCGTCCAGCCCTCCCCCTATCCCAGAGTGCGTCTTTTTAAAAATACAAATCGGTCTCAAAATCAGCTCATAATCATAGCTTTCAATAGCTATAAAAGTTTTTCGCCAATAACCCGTCTTCAGACTGAATGTGTACGTTCAATCAATGTCTATACAAAGAAGCAGTTGCATTAATTGTCTTACAAGAAACTTTCTAAATAAGAGGTCAAGAGGGGCCTGGACCTGTCACCTAGTAGTGCAGTGCTTACCAACGATGTGCAGCTGTCCAATAAATTACCCACACTTATCAAATGGTCACTTTTCTCTGTGATCTTGAGTGACCATTGAGTCAGGAGCCTATTTTGGGAGGGGGGGGGCAGAGAGAAAGTGGAGATGAAAGTAGGCGACGGAACAGGATTAGAGAGCAGGAAAGGATGTGAAAGGAGAACAATTTTAGTGAGGAAAATATTCCATTGCTGTCAGGTGTCGAACCTGGGACTTTTGAATGAGAGGCGGACACCACCTCTAGACCAAGGCCAGGGCATTGTGGGTTTGCTTTGCATCTAATGAAGGGAAACAAATGCTTGAGTCTTTACTTTTGGACAAGAGGTGCTCATTTTCGTCAGCAGGACTTTGATTAAAGTTTAAACCGAAAGTGTTGATGAAATGTAGACAGAGAATTGACATGCTTGCTGATTTATCCGGATCCACTCTATTTACGAGAATGTTTTTCGTAATTCATTTTGAAGTGTTACGAAAAAATTGATGGTACTCAGTGCTTTGTTTTCTTTTTCCTCAGATGGTTCACTCACTTCTACGCCGTTGGTCTTTGTGCTCACAGTTTCGTATTTATTTTTGTGGTGTCTGGAGCTCTGGGCTTGTTCTTTGAAACTGGGCTGAATGACCTCATCAGATGGATCAGCTGGCCATGTGGTGAATCAGGTTTGCAGAATTGCAATTTTGAAATGATTGAAGAGGATGTGATAAGAGTAGTGATCCAGGTCAACAAATGGCATAACAGAAGTCAACAGAAATGTATAAAAACATATAGAAATAAAGACTCCACATCTTTTTCGGGATTTTAATTTCTTTACAAAGCTCCTTATTTTGAGAGACAGCCTTTTAAACATGAAATTATTAAATTCCTTCTCTTCATTTACATATGATTTGATATTATGTTGGAAAAAAGGGACAAATTTAGTGTGGGTGCCATTAGCTCTAGCAGAAATTATGAATGATAATGCTTAGATGACAGAGCTGGGCACAGGTGGATGGGCATCAATAATCATATACAGTATACGGTTGAACCTTTCCAAGATGAATGGTCCTTTTAAACAGGTGGTCCTCTTGAGCAGCGTCGTTATGATATCTAAAAAAAACTAAAGGGGGTAGGTGGGAGATAGTAGTCATAAGAGCAGGACTGACTGTAGTTTATATTTAATTAATGCTGGTGCAGTAATTAACTTTTCCTTGCTCATCACTTATTTTTTATACAAATATATTTCTCTTCACAGGTATGGAGTGTAGCCCATATCCCTTTCTGTTTGTCTATTTCATGGAATGGATGCAAATCAGCAAACGTCTGTTTGAGTGTGTCAAGGTCAGCCACTTCTCACCGGGCACAATGAGTTTTGTCCACTACTTCTATGGGGTTTTCTTTTACTCATCGTTTGGAATCGGTCTCTTGTCTTCTGTCAAGATGAATCTTGGAGATTTCCCAGGTAAAGATAAAAACTTACGTTTCCTGAAATTTGATTTATGTTTTGTTTAAGTTTGTGTATTTGAGTTTTTTTGTGAAGGTTGCCTTAAAAAGTTGCATTATTTGGTATTCATGGCTGAACCTTGTAAAAGATGAATCCTCACTTTCCAGAACATTTAATTTTTATTTAATAAAGGGTAGGGCTTTGTTTGATTTTGTATCACATAGTATATATTTGGTATGTTCTTTTTTTTTTTCGTCATGGATGGGGGAAAAGAGGCAACTGACCCATGTTATCCTTTCATGAAAGGCTGAAATGTTTGCTGTCCTATGAGTAAAAATTACTCTCGTGTACTCGGCAATTTTGTGTGGTGTCTGGTTTTTCAAAAAATTTCTCTCATGGGGGCTCTCATGGCCTTGAGGTCAAGGTGTTCGCCTCTCCTTCAAAGGTCTTGGGTTCGAATCCGGGTAGCGACTGAAAAAAATTTGTTCTCTCAAATTGTCTCCTTTCACCTTCTTTCCTGCTCTCTAGCTATCTTCTGTCGTCTGCTTTCGTGTCCATTTTCTGCCCCTATCCCCTCACACCCTTTGCCCCCTCCTCTGGGCTTCTGACTTTTTATGCAGCCTTTCTGCTGCTACTCCTTGGCTCCTTCTTACTGCTGTCTCTCAGCCACATCCCTGATAATTGATATTCTTGTAGGAAAGATCTACACCTAGCCTTCTCTGACAAAGGCGAGAAATCTCGGAGGTCCCGTGTGCAAGTTGCACACATCAGAGATCCCTTGGTGGTCTAAAATCAATAAGAGTAGGCTTCAGCGCCACCTGGGCAAAATTCAAAATTTCCGACCTACTAAAAATGTTTAATGTGTCCCATGTGCTCATATGACCTTATGCAATTGCAAGCGCAGTAAAACACTTACCCCCAAAAATGTTTTTCGAATCAATTTTTATTTCTTCACTGCAGCATCCTTTAAAGTTAAAGTAACAATTCAGAAAGGAGATGAATATTCAGATAGAGCTTGTACTCCCTGTTTGGAGAAAATGAAAAATGTTCCTGTGAAGTTTATATGAAGGGTTTGTGTGTGTGGTGTGTGCGTGTTTGTGGTGATTTGGGGGGGTGGGGGGCATTCTCTTGGTGGATTCTACTTCTTATCCTTTCCTCTGTCATTTCTGTCTGTCTGTCTTTTTTTTCTTTTTACTAAGACTTATAACAGTTTTCATCTTGACGTGGTTCTCTTTCACTGAAATACACATAATAATATTTGTTTCTCACCATTTCAGAAACATTACAGTGTTGGTTGTGCTGTAAGGTTGTTACTATGCTGTGGCAAAAGAATACTTCTGTGGGTGGTTGGCGGGTGCTCTGGCGTGGTCTGTTCCTTCTTTTCTATCAAACATCTATCGTCCTTTTCTCTCCTCCTTCTTATTTGTGTTTGTTACTCTCTTGTACTTGTAACACCTCTAATCTTCGGCACTTTTATAACTTTATTGTGTTGCAAGTGCTGTAATACTCTTACTAAAACTTAAAGAATATTTCAGAAAAAAAAAAATCATTATCATTTGGTATCGTAATTTTTCATTTTATTGATTATTTTTTGCAGGTACCATACCTAGAGAAGAGCTGCCGTATATTTGTGCTGGTGTTTGTGTTTTCTTTGTTGCGTGGTACTACCAACATCAAAGTATGCTGACTCTGGCCTCTTTACGCTCGGGGGTCAAAGGTGTGTGAGTGTGTGGTCATAATTTTCACTTTTAACCATCTCCTTATGGTACCTTTTGACTTTTGGATGTTATGCCTATATGAATTAAACATTTTTATTATTAAAGAGACAGAAAGAGTGGGCTTATGCTCTTCTCTGATAGAACGGGATTACCCTTGCCTTTAACTCTTTATCTCCGAGGGGCCCTTTTTTGGTACTAAATCTAAAAATGGTAAAAATGTCATTAAACTGGTGATTAAATAAGAACAAGTGAACCTATTTTGATAGTTCTTCCTCTAATGAATGAACTCCTGATAAAAGAGACCTGTTTTTGGCAATTGCCGAAAAGTAATTTCATGTCGGAAGTCGTTGTGAGAGAATGTGCCCTAGCTGCTGTCACTGCAGCTGCTCACCAGCTCAGCGGCGTTTCCTGCCGTGAGCCGCTGGGTGGAGATACAAAGTTAGGTCTCAATTTGTATCACCATCAGATAAAGTGCCTGGTAGTGTGTGAGTTAGATAAGAGTCTGTCCATCTGAGAGAATACCACGATTTTCCTGTCTCGTTGTTCTCTTAGAGAGGAAGACTCGAGAGTCCGAAAATCATAAACTAAGAACATTATGTCATCGATGTATCAGGTCAGTTGCTGTTGCATGATTGTTTTTGAAAGTCGTCGCAAGGTCTGGAGGGGTTGAGTTAATTTCACATTAATGTTTTTCCAACTCCCTGTTTTTGGAAAACCCTTCGTAAGAGTTAGTACTCAGATGTCATGACAACTGGCACGAAGCTCAATGTAAAAATAATTTGAACAGATGATAAAAAAAAACGCTCACACTGTCTTTCAGTTGGGGTCTGAGAGGCCAGTCGAATGTAAAAATATTGTGGAGTCCACTCGTTCCAAAATCTGCGGGACTGAGGATCTTCTTGAATAGCTTTGGTTTTGGTTTAGAGAGATCACTCACATAGTCAAGAAAAGAATCGAGGGTTCTATTTTCGTTCATGTTACCGCTGTTTTCGTTTTTGGATTAACCATGTTCAGTTTAAGGGGACTCCTGTATAAAATTTTAATTATGTTGGGTCTGCCAGGCCTTCTGAGTGTTGTGTGTTGAACAGGATTGTTATTTGTGTAAAAACAGTGATAGTTTGTATTTTCTCTATTTATGGCGGGGGGGGGGGGGGGGAGTTGTTACTTTTTTCTTGTAACACCTTTAATCAGTGGCACATATATGACTTACTTGTGTTGCAAATGCCATAAAACTCTTACTAAGACTAAAACTAAACTACTTTAGATTTTATCTCTTTGTGTTGTTGTGGTTGATTCCAATGCATACCTACTTTCAAGAGTCATATTTTGTTTCTTTTTTTTTTTTTATCACCAGAAAAAGCCTCTACCTCCCATTACATTCCGAGAGGTCACCTGTTTGGGTTTGTCTCCTGCCCCCACTACTTCTGTGAGATGGTCATCTACGCCTCCTTTTGCTTGGTCTTCCAAGGCAGGAACAGTTTTCTCCTGGCAGTCACTCTGTTTGTGTGGGTGACCCAGATAGTCTCAGGGCTGCTCACTCATCGGTGGTACTTACAGACATTCCCTAGCTATCCCCGGGAGAGAAGAGCAGTGATTCCGTACTTGTTGTGACCTCAGTGAGAAAGTCAGGTTGTGTAGTGGAGTGTGAAAGAAACCAAAGATCTGCCCATCTGAATGTAGGTCTGTGTGTATGTCTCTTGTTTGCTTTTTCTACTACTTTTTTATCTTTTTCTATCCCTCTTTCCTTTTTGTCTACTCTCTTTCTATATGCTGTCAAGCCCACACATAGCAAATAGATTTTCAGGTCACAAATGTTTTCTTATATTTTCTTTTGTCAAAAAAAAATTAAAACTGCGAGGGTAAATCTAATTAATTAACCATGACACCTATTTTGATTTTTTTGAAGCAACTCTAATGAGAGGGGGGGGGGGAGTGTGCCGCTGCTGTTTGAGTATGGGTGTAGGCCAACAACCTTACTATCTTCATCTGCATGGGGGGGAGTTTGCTGTCGTATGAAGGCATGTTTCTGGTATTGTCACTACATATGTCAGCTCACTTCTTCTTTAACAGAGATTACGTACTAAACACCAGTTTGTTGGTGTTGTGCAAAGCTTGGTCAAAGTAAATTTGTTGAAGAGAAGCGGAAAGGTTTGTCGTAGAGAAAAATCAGCTCTCACCAGAAGTGGATTTTAAAACAATGTCATAAACCCAAATATGCAAATCTAAATGACTATGAACCAAGGACATACCAAGCCAGGACTGATAGCAGGCGAGAGGTTGGCGGCCAGAGAGGTCGGCTGACTCGTGCGACATGCAGGATCACCTTGCCGTCTCCGATTACACATGCTTGCCCACGTGTGCTTTGCAGTGTGGTTTTGTTACTGTTGACTAGTCCCTGTATTGTTTGACTATTGATGTTCAAAGAGAGAGAGAAAGAGAGAAGGGGGGGGGGGGAAGAGAGAGAGAGAAAGAGAGAGAGAGAGAAGGGTGATGGTGAAGAGAGTTCGTAATCACACCAAATATTCTTCATTGTTTAAGAATGCAGGAGAAGGGACCTATATTATGCTACAACATACAATATCATATGGAGAAAAGCAAAAATTAAGTCCGAATCAGTCTCACAGAAATTTCAATTTGTAATACAGTCAAACCTGCCCTGGCCACATGTACAAATGGCACCTTTCCAAAGTACTCGAGCACTAGCAAAAACTTCTCAGACGTCAGCCACTCATTGTCATTTACAAGCCCCAAACTGCCCTCGGGGACATTGTTAATCATAATATGAGGCTGGAGCCGCTCCTGTGGAAATACAAATACAATAGCACAAATAGTGATGAGCTTACCGCTCTCTCTGCTCGTCATCTGTCCATCTTACCTTTTTGGTGAAAACTTTTGGCATCCCCTGGACAGTGGTGAATCCTGTTTTGTCGAGATTATAGATTTTTCTTCCCTCAGAAACGGTGACAATTTGATTGTCAAACCATTCACAAAGTAGGACGTCACTGTCCTCATCAACCCTGAAATCAAATATCTCTCCCCCCCTTTCTTTTTGAGATCTTCCAGTGCCATCAAAGGGCACGGCCTTGTTTTGTTGGATCTGAATTTGCAGATGGCATTTAGATTTCGATTCCTCAACTTGGAGAGAGATCTGGGGATGCAAAATAGTTATCAAAGAATACATGAGAATCTTCAGGTTGACCTTTTATCAACTGTAGGACAACCTGTCCAGCCCTCTCTATCTTCTCAAAAAAATCCTCATCTGATTTCAGACTTTTATCCCCTGCAAAAGTAAATTTGTGCCCATAACCTGATTGGTCAGCATGCACCCAGATTTTGTACCCCCATTTCTTGGGCTTTTTAGCCATGCACACTTTGAGGGAGTGTTTGCCCTTGAAGGGGACCATCATCTCCTCAACTGCTATGCAGTTCTTAGTGTCTGCACACTTGAAAATGTTCATTCAATTTTTGAATGTTCGGTCTTACTTTGAACAAGTTGTCATACTCTGGGTGGCCATTTTGTTTCATAAGAATATTGACATTCACATGGAGGAGTGACAAGATCTCCTCAAATCGATTTACTGTCATATGGTCAGCTTCATCAGGCTGCCTACTTCCAGGGGCCCGATACATACGACTAAAAGGCAGATCAACATGAACGTGCAAATGCCTAGAAATGTTTTCATCTGCTGAGATGTAATTGTATCAACATGTGATCTCTTCAAAGCAATTTTTTGGTCTGTTTGTTTCAAGTACTAGGAGATCGACCACGTCGTCTTCAAAGTGGGCTGTGAACATGTCCAATTGTGTGCGGGCGGCAATGACAGATCCCACCGGTCGTAACTCATTGGTCAACCTTGCACGATATGGTAAATCTTTCTTCGCCAAGTGCCAAATGCGAGGGGTAGAATCGGAAGCTTCACTGTGAAAGAAGAAGAATTTTTAAAAAATTGCTTGTTACTGGTACTATCCATCGAAGCAAAGGGAAAAATATCACATGAAAAATTATTAAGTTCATTACCTTCGGCCCCCACCCCTGGAGTGCCCCGGACTACCCCGGACAATGTAAATGTTTTGAACAAGTGTACACATGTGACAGTGCCACGGGCCTCTAGCTGACCTGAACTTTATTTTTCCACGCTTCTTTTTCGTTTTCGGTGACAAAGTTTCTTGGACTTGCTTGGCGTACTGTTGCCTGTGAAGGTATTGTCTGCTGAAGTCACAGTTCCTGCCCTGCGCGAAGGCCGCATCAGCATCTGCAAGTTCTGCTTCTGTTGATCTGTTGACAGTTTGTACCTCTGCTCCGGTGATGTGACGGTGCCAGGACATTTTTCTCCAATCCACACAAGCAGTACGCTGTGGTTCAGGATTCTTTGTGAGGACAAGATTGTGCAGGACATCAACCAGCTGTGGTAGTTGTTGAGGAGTCCGACACACGAGATGGTTAAGGACTGCATTCAGACTTTCTGCATTGTTGGTGTAAGTAGGCGTTGGCAGGCATCCATCCCAGAAAAGTCTCAGAACGTTATCCTTCAACTGATCAGCGAGTTTCATAAAATACGCCTCGTCATTCGCTAGCCACTGGGCTCCTGCTTTGGCCTCTCGTATGTTATATTCAGCTCTGTCGACCGACTTGATCAACATCCGTGTCAACAGCTCATTCTCCCCGTTTCTTCTGGCACTGGGTCAACAACCTGAACAATAACCGTCTTACCAACCTCTCATGCAGACACAATTTTAGTTAGTGTGCCAACAGCTTGGTTGTACATGTTTCCTCAATGGCATCTGACTTTCAAGTGTGGCAAGTTGTTTGGAAATATTCAGTGCAAGATTAAATCGCTGGTGCTGTGATTTCACAGGGTCACGTCGCTGAGCTGCCGACAGATTTAATGTTGCTTCTGCACTAGAGGCACGAAGCACCAATTGTCCTTTGTGTTGTGGGCTGTCCACGTCAATAAACACAGGAACTGGGTTTTGCAGTAATTTGCGAACCTTGTGAAAATGGCTCTATCTTGTCCTTTTCTGCGACTGGGGTAGTCCATGTTTTGAAAATCTCACGACCTTGGGGTGGCGTTGGTAGCCTAGTGGTTAGGCTACCGGACTCATAATCGTGAGATTGCGGGTTCGGGGGTTCGAGCCTCAGCTCGGTCCTACGTTGTGTCCTTGGGAAAGGCACTTTACACGTACTTCCCACTTGGCTCGGTCGTATCGGAGATGGACATTAAACTAGGAGGTCCCGCCTCTTAAATAACCTAATAGTGTTGATAGGGGCGTTAAACCCATACCATTTCACCATTTTCTCACGACCTTTTCTACCTATCAGATACAGGAACGTGGAACACTTTGTCTTCTCGGGTTCATCCTTCAGTGTTAGTTCAATGTAGAGACGTATTTCTTGTTCCCACATAGTCCATTGGTCAAATAAGGAATGTGTATCGTTGAAATTCAGTTCGTCTGGGGGCCTTAGCTTCGACATTGCTTGCTATTTTGACGATTCTGAGTTTTTTTCTGCCAGTCTTAATTTTGTGCCCAATCTGGACAAACCTTTAAAAAAAATTGATGTGACGGGTTTGCGAAGTTGTCTGCTAGGAAATCTGGGGTGCACCTTTATCGATCGACTCTCATGAGGCCTTTCTCTGACTCTTCTTGGTCAATTTACGGTCTTCTGGTCTATTCCATTACTTCATCCTCTTACCATTGCTTTCACTAGACTATTGCACATATTTCTGACACCTTGTTGTGGGCTGTCCACGTAAATAAACACAGGAACGACTGTGGGAACTTTCAGACAAACTTTAATGTGACATGACAGTCACCATTCCAATTATCAAAAGTTACCAGCTAGGCCAAACATAATTATAAGCCAGGCGCTCTTGCCTAAAAGAGGCCAAATGATATTACAACACTTTGTAATACTTCTTTGTCCACCATGCAGCACATAATATATATCTCTGTCATAGAGACATATTCCATGCATCTCTCGCAAAGCAAGTACATCCCTGCATGGCAGTGACATGGCTTTAAAAAAGCCACAGATGCATGCCGTCGTCGTTACCTGCAGTTCTCCCCATTCACTTTACAGACTAACTGCAGTTCCACTTCCTTCTGGAAATTGTATATTTCTTGCTAGTTCATATTGTCTTTTGACGTAGCTGAAAGCAAAAGGTGTCAAGTTCTTTTGATAATCTGAAACTGCAGTCTGCCCCACGGGGAGAGCAGCTGGAACTTTTTGGAAGCTTTCAGTTGCTCTGTGGTGCTTTTCTTGCTTAGGAAAATCGAAACATGTCATAAGTTCTTTTGTGAACATGAGAAGGTTGGACTTTTTTCCCACAACAGATTTATTTTTTGGCTTCTAATCGATTGTTAGTTCTATTCATCAGATGACCAGAATCGGCTTTCAATCTTTCCATCCACTCTTGTTTGATTGGGTACCAGTTGGCATGGAAGTAAGTCAGAAGACATTCGTTGCCTGTCTCTTCCAGCAGTTTCATGTTCACTTTGTGCTCAGTCTCCCTGCGTGAGTAGTAGACAAGTTTTTGAAGAATCTCTAAAAAAGTGATTTGTCTGACCACTAGAGCTGTTCATGCTTTTCTCCGTCACTTCTCAGTGGAATGTTTTTAAGGTGTGAAAGAGGTAGATTAGAAGACTTGCTTCTTGAAATTCTTCCCGTATGACTCCTCTTTCGGTCCAATCTTTATCTGCCATAAAGCATTGAGTGTTTGTGATTCATTCTGCTTCTTAAAGCAGGAAACCATGGTTTTCATTGTCACTTTGTCCTCTGATTTAACTATCCAGATGGCAACCACCTGGCTTTCTCCATTTCCATCCACGCCCAACATGATGTACAG